TAGGTTAGAGGGATAGCTAGGAAGAGGGCCGTCTCAATTTCCCTAACCTATCGCAGCTACAAACTGAAAATTTGAGGCAGTTGTAATTATTTTTAATCTAAATCGAAGCTTAGCTGTCCAAAAAACCGTGGATCTCTTTCAATGAAGGTTTACTGGTTGGGCGCCATTTGCCATGTTTTAGAGATCTGAAGCGATAACTTACAATTCTGTAACATTTGACTTTGTTTAAAGATATTCTGATATAAGTCGAGGGGGGAAATGTGAAGGTTTTCTACATCCGGTATGAAATGAAGGCACTATACAGGGTGAGCTAAAAACAAAGCAACAAAGTCAAACGCCATAATTTTTAGATTTGTTTTTTTTTTTTAATTTTATTGAATGAAAGCAAAAAAAAATCGGAAATAGAAATTTTAGAATACGTTTAGAATTGTTCGAATCGGTCACCTTTGGCCTTAAAACCGCCAATGAAACCGTCACACGCTGCTCTGCGGTATTTTTGCCCATTCCCGGCCAGGCGCTTGCTTGAGGTGATGTTGGCATGTTCCAAAATACTCCAGACACAATCTCAGGATTGACATCCGGAGATTTTGGGTGGCCTTTGTGTGCTGGAAATGAAGCGAGGAAACTCATTTTGTGCTGGGTCCAATTGGAAAGTCCAAGGCCTGCGGGCAAAATGTTTGCCTGCCCAAGGCTGGAGGGTGTATTAACCTCCAGAATATTTTCGCGTTAATATTCGGTATTTGTTCTGATGACACGATTGATTAATACGAGCGGAGAGCGATCATTGGCTGTTATGGCAGCCCACACCATCACCATGGCCGGCGCTTGAGTTCTGGTGGTCAACCGAAGGTGCACATTTTCAGCTGATCTTTTTGGCAAGGAAACACGACTGCTGGACAACGAATGTTTTCTCATCGGAGAAATCCAAATTCGGCAGTTCACCACTTTCGGCTAAGCGAAGCAACTCTTTTGAGTCTATTTTTTATTCGGTTGCAGTGTAAGTTCTTGCACTTTTTGGAATTTCAATGGCTTTACCCAGAGCTTATTTTTCAATATTTGCCGAATGGAATATTGGCATTCGTGGTGATTTTTTCGAAATATTTTCTAATTATTTAGGTACTACATTTGAATGCCATAGAGAGGATTATGTAGGTAATGAGCTACAGACTGAATGATCGTCTGGCGTTCACTTTGGGATCTGAAAATCGCGACGGATTCTTCATGAAAATTTGTTTGAGTAGAGAAACATACCTATTTAGTAGCTATCTCCTTCAAATTAAAGAAGAAAATTAAGAAGCATCCAAAAATGAAGTTTTATGCGACAAGATAGGTAACAAATGGCGCCCAATTGGAAGAAGAATTAAAAAAAAATTATTTTTTTAGACAGTTGGATACAATTGGTGTGTAGTAGGTCATAATGAGCCTGGAAATAGGGTTATAACATTAAAACTAACTATTGTAACAAGCTCTGTTTGAGTTGTTATAAAATGTGCACTTGGATGAAACAGAATTCCCCAAAATATATTTTATGTCCTTCGCTACCCATTTTATTTCAAATTTTAAGGATTGACAGCAAAAACATGCAGATACAATATATGCCAAGCATAAAATTAAAAGGTAATCATGTAATATGGCGCCCAATGGGAGAGAAAAAAGGGGACATTCACTCTGGAGGAATTCGACACCATCCAAAGGAGTGAAATGAGTGCCCAATTAGGATTCATTTCGAAATTTGAAAGAACAGATAGTCCAGGATTGACAACTTCAAGGAAAACAGCTTTAAAAGGATCCCAATCAATGGAAAAGAATAACAAATTTAAAATAAGGCATCACCTGCTGTTTATACCCAACCAATAGAAAAGTGGCGCCCAATTGCAAAAAAATATTTTGAGTACAAATCGCTGGGAATTGAACGCAAGTGCTTAATATATAGTGAAAAAATACTGAAAGAATTTAAAAGATTTTTATTTATAAGGCTATGTGCCTGAATTTCCTGCTACATTTATCAATTGTGCATAGTTTTATATCTGGCAATAAAATTAGAAAAAAAATGGCACTCAATTATAGCAGCAAATTTTGTGAAACTGTCAGCAAACGTTATCAAAACATTGAATAAAGGAAACTAGAAATATTAGCGGCCAATCATTAAAACAACTGCTTAATTTCATCGCTTAAAGGGAAAGTTGAAAAGGTGGCGCCCAATCAATAGGGAATATACATTCTAAGATAATTATTGTTGTATATTTCTCCATCTATCTCTATCCGGTCTGTAGGCGAGGCTACAAAACTGTGAGATTTTCCGACCTCAAAACTGATGCCAAATTTATCCCACTGTACTTGTACAACGTTAGCTCATTCAGAGCATTATCGAGGTCTATACCTAATTTCTTTATATTTTTTCTAAACTTAAAAAATATCTGCTCTATTCTTGATCTTCTGTCATCTTTTCAATCTTTTTAGCTATTTTTCAAAACAAAACCAACCTAATAAATAACATTTCTCCCGTAATTTAAACAAATTAGTTATGTGGCGCCCAAATGTTTTGAGGAATATTTAAATACTCGTAGATATTTTTTTATATTAATGAAAAGATCAAAAGTTAATGGATGGTAATTTCCTCTCACAATCCCCCCCCACCCTTTGCTGCGTCACCTAACGTTAAATTTTATTTCATTTCGTTACTAATTTCCAAAACCGAAGTTTTGTTAGCCTTGCATATTTTATAGACACATTTTGTCTGGCAACTGTCAATGGAGAAACAAAAACAAAAAAAAAATATTGCATTCCAAGCTTTTTTATTTCTAGCCGTGACAAACGCACAGCAGCAACACCAACTGCGGAGATTTTTATGGTTATGGAAAAAAGTAAAAAAAAATACCAAAATCAAAACTAGTTTTTTGTTTAAAAACAAACACTTCAATATCGAAAAAATGAAAGAAAAAAACAATAAATGAGCTGAGCTGGATTTGAACTGGATCTACCAATGCAAACTGCAATTCTGGGTTATGAAGAAAGAAAAAAACAAAAAAGAAAATGCTGAACATCAGCCATGATGAGGATGATGATATTGAAATGCAATAATTATTTTTTTTTCTTTGCTTGCCATCAAATTATTTATTTTCACCCCAGAGGCAGAGGCAGAGGGGCAAAAAAGAAATATGAAACCAAATCAAGAGCTAAACAACTCAAAACATCAACATCACAGCGACAAACTGATGACCGTAGCAAATCAGAAATCAGCAAAAAAAACACAAAAGTGCCACTCAAATTTCAAAAAGTGAGCAAAACAAAGGCCTGATTAAAATCGATTCGAGCAAAAAGTAAAAAAGCCGCAAAACTATGTTTTTTTTTTTTTCATGAATTGACAATTTTTTCCAAAAGGGCACACGTTTGCCATGCGTTCGCTTGAGGATCAGTGGCTATGAGTGGCTGCATATTTGGTTTGGTTTTGGTGGTTGGTAGTTTGGTTGTCAATCTAGCCGGGGTTTTATAAAAAATTTTGAGTAGGAATCAGAGATGGAAGTTTTGAATGGAAAATTATCTCCTTTCGAGATTTGGTGCCAAGATATATAGTACGAGCAGATTATTAATTGATTGGAAAATTGTTCTATTTTCTATAGGAGCTCTATTTAAAAAAACTCCAATTCTTCTACCTGTTGGGCGCCATTTTTACCTAAGTAGTATATTTAAATTAAGCAGGACGTCTTTCAATATCAAATTCAATTTTGCAAGTTTTTCTCCTCTCCTTGGAAGAACTTTCATGACTTCGAGCTCCAAACCGACTGCTGAAGATCATGCATCCTACATCTCATATCAATTCAATAACCCTTCTCTGCACAGAAAAATTCGCTTAATTATTTCCCAATCTGTTGACACATCACTTTTGTGGTACTTTTCCCAATTGGGCGCCATTTTCCCTAAGCACCCTCATAAACTCTAATTTTACTCACTTCACACCAATAATACACAACGATTTAAAAAAAATCCAATTCTTCTACCTGTTGGGCGCCATTTTTACTTAAGTAGTATATTTAAATTAAGCAGGACGTCGTTCAATATAAAATTCATTTTTGCAAGTTTTTCTCCTTTCCTTAAAAGAATTTTCCAAAGAAAACCCAACTACCCCATACCTGTAGTATCCTTCTGGTATAAGTTCGAGTTCGAGCTCCAAACTGACTGCTGAAGATCATGCATCCTCGTCTCATCGCACCTCAATAACCCTTCTATGCACAGAAAAATTAGCTTAATTATTTCCCAATCTGTTGACACATCACTTTTATGCTACTTTTCCCAATTGGGCGCCATTTTCCCTAAAGCACCCTCATAAATGCTAATTTTGAGGTTTTTCTATTGTCTAAAACTGTGAAAATATTTTATGGAATTATTGCTTTCCCAAACAGAGCACGAGAGTGAGAGAGGGGAATTTTTATTATTTAATCAGCTGTTTACCAGAAAAATTCCCAAAAATAGTTTCCATGCTCTGACCTTATAACAACAACAAAACAATGTGTTTACCAAAAATTTTAATGCGGGTTTTCTTTCTGTCTTTCTTTTCAGTTGAGTATTTGGCAACCCAAATACTATCAATTCGCCTTACACGCACAACAATGATTTACGGTTATCCTGCGAAGAGAGTGTTCGAGAGAGAGTGAGTGTGTGTGTGTGTGAAATGAAATGAAAACAATGTGCTGAGAGCATAAAAGCAAATGTTGCGAGTGTGGTGAAAACATTGGGGAAATGACAAATAAAAACCAAACGCCCTGGTGAAATTTGAACTCTCTCTCTCTCTCTTTGAGAGCAAGGAAAAGGAGAGTTGGCTTCATTTGTGAGCTGACTGTTTGACGGTGTCTGCTATCTTCGTTGGGAGAAATGTAAGCAAAACGCACGGATACGCGAAGCTAAGAACAACGTTTGCTACGCTGCTCGCCAGGAATATTTAGAAGAAGCAAAAAAAAAATAAAATACAACAATTTTAAAGTGTAACCTGAATCATAAAAAAATAAGAAAAGAAGAAGAGGAGGCAAATAAAAAAAGAAATTTCAAAATTTGAAAGAAAAAAATTAAAGAAAAGAGAAATGTAATAATTGAAAATTTGTTTATAACCCAAGAATGATTGATTGGAAAATTTGTTGGAAATAATTGTGTAAGTGTGTGTGTGTGCAAAATATGAGATCCAAATAGTGCGTGATAAGTGTAAATTTATGTGTGTGAGAAACGTAAACGGGGGCTACCGAGTTTTTTGGGTTGTGAGCATTGTTGTTGTTGTTGGGTGGTTTATGTTGATGTTATTCTTGCTGCTGCTGGTTTTTGTTGTTCTTGTTGTTGTTGTATAAGTACATATTTTTGGGTGTGAAAACGAAAGTGAAAATCTAGCACAGCAGCCCAGAGTACAACAGCGAGAGGGCCAACACAACAACAATCCAAGCCTCATCAAACCAACGAAGGACCAACCAACCAACAATTCGCTCCAACCCACCCAAGGGGGAGGCATAAGCCAACATCACAAGCCAGTGGCATTGTTGTGTGACAATTATTTCAGTGCAGGGAGGCAGGCGACAGGCCTACCCCCCAACTCTCTCTCACCTTTTGCCCTGTTGTGTGGTTGTTGTTGCTGTTACGTTTGTTACTTAAAACGTAACGTACGTAACTACAACGTACTCTAGTTTACTCTACGATTTGTTGTTGTTTTTGCTTTGCCTTTTTTTTCTGGCACATGGTTAGCAATGTTCTCGTTTTCATTTTTCCAGAGGACACAGGATTGCGCCCTGATCTGAATGATAACTGATGCTTGTTCTTCTTCAAACCAGATTCTTGGGTGGATTATTGTTACATAAAAAATAATAAAAAAAAACCAAACAAAATTACAAACGTCGAAGAAAATAATTTCCAAACGAAAAAAAATTTAGAAAATATCGAAAGCAATGAATAAAAAAAGAAAAGTGAAAGAAAATTCGTGAAAATAAGGAAAAACCAAACAAAACCGAAAAAAAATCCCAGAAACAAAACAAAAAAGAAAAGAAACTCGAAAAGAAGAAAAAAAAATACTTGCAAAGCAGATGTGTTGGCGGTGACAACAGGACATCAGCAGCATCCTCAAATAGAAGCTCGTTTAGAGAGGACATTTGCCAGTGATTGACAGTTTCACTGGCTGGCTGGTTGTTGGATGTCATCAGGCTTGTTGGCTGCATAGTTGGGCAGAGAACGAAAGAGAACGAGAAACAGAGAGAGAGCAGAAACGACAAAAGGACATACGTTCGTCGTTCCGTACTACATTATCTTCTATGTGTGTGTGCGTGACGTCAAAAAATCAAAATTCATTTGTTGTTATACATAGATATTTAAAAATTGTTGTACAACAACAACAACAAGAATTCTGCAAACTCACGGGCTAAGCCCTCCCCCCCTTTGCAAAAGAAGACAAGAAAAAAACTTACAACCCAAGTAAGCAGCAGCCGCCAAAGAGCTTAGACCCAGCCTGCGGAGAGCCAGCACCACTGTAAGTGCGTGTGTGGTGGATTTTTTACGTTTTCTTTCACCTCCCAGCCACCAAGCAACCACCCGCACAAGAATTTTGTACACCTTAGCGCCAGCTGTATTAGTAACACCATCATCATCATCGCCAACATGGAGCAGCCCAGCATACTGGTTAGGATTCTACACTCAATACCGCATGTGAACTACACATTTCAGCGGGTTAATGACACCTTCAATCCGGACAGCGATGTTTATCTTGAGGTGAGTTTTTTTTTTTGTTATTTCGTTTTATGTTTTCTGTGATATTAAGAAAGAGGGAAAAAAAGTGCTGCACACAAAAAGGATAACACAGCTCTGCTTGCTCTCCTTTTTTTTTTGCCTGATGATGCCACTATCTCAATTAGAAGTTTTATGCTCGAAACTTTAAAAGTTTCTTCTTTGGTTTGTTTGCTGAAACCTGAAAACCATGGTTTTTGCAACAATATTTGTAGCAACTTTTAAGGGGGGAGGGAGAGGATTTGTTAGCTCCTTAAGGATACCGCTCTTGGCAAATGTCCACAATTTTTAGATGACCATTTTCCCAGAACAGTTGAAAGTTTTGTTAAATCAAACCAAAAAAAAAACGAAACAAAACGAGAAATTAACAAACATTAAGTTTTTCCAAGTGTTGGTATTCCCACACACACACACACGAACACTCACACACACAGAGTATTGGCAACGACCTAAAATACGTCTGCAGTTTTAGTATTTCTTTCTTCCACTTCAGATAAGAGCATCCCATCCAACCATCCATCCATCCACAAACTGTAGCTATTTTTTTGTTGCTTCTTTCTTTCTCTCTTTGTTGACAATTTGATAAACAAAGAACTTTGAAGCAAAAGTTTTTATTTTTTATTTTCCTCTTTTTCTACTTAGAAAAATAATATAAAGTTTTTTTTTTCACTTGCATTTACATTTATTTATGGCTGGATTTTATGTCATTTGCAAAAAAAAAAAAAAAGCAGAAACAGATATTGTACCAAGAAATCTGCATAGCCTTCTTATCTTTGAAAAGATAACACAGAACGCAGGACATCTCTTCATGAGACAAAAAAAAACGCAAATTATAAATCGCTTTGAGATTCGGCCAAAAATAGATTTCAAAAATCATAGAAATTAAGATAAGGTGGTTATTAGAACTAAGAAAATTAAATCTTCAAAAAAAAGTGAGCTAAACAGGTTTCTAAAGAGTTACTAGTTTTATTTTCGATTGTTCGTCGTAAAAAAAATCGCAAAATCGACTTTTCATAAGCGATTTTAGGGCTATAGAATTTTTGGCTACAAAAAATGTAATATGCGCCGAAAAGTATGCAACAATAAAAGTTTTTTAGTTTTCAAACAGAAATTTCAAGCTTTTTTGGTCTTACTTTCGATTTGTGGACGTTTAAAAGTCATAAAATCGACTTTTCATTAGCGATTTAAGGGCAATGAAATGTATGGCTTTATTAAATTTTGATATGCCCCGAAAAGTATGCAACGTTTAAAGATTTTTAGTTTTCCAAAAATCCATCTGAAAATCGACGATTGTAGTCGATTTTTTGACTGGGTTTTTCGAAATTTGTTTAGAAAACATGGGTGACTGATTTCAGTTCTCATTTTTTTCGATCCAAATAAGCTCTTAGTTGGAAGTTGAGCACATGAACTTTTTCTGGTCCCAGCCACCTCATTTAACACAAGTATTATTTGAGTAGAACGCATGTCAGGACACACATTTCAATGTTGATCGAAAATCCACAGCTTCAAAACTTCAAAACAATTTTAAAAATCCAAGATGCTTGTTCAGTTTTTTTTTCGTCAAAGTTCTGCAATAGTGGCCTTAGTAGTCTTAAAAAAATGGTATTGAAATCCGCCAAATTCCTTCAAAATATCTCCTCTTAAAATTCATAATACGCATTCAGATTACTTTCTTTGAAATTGTTATACGGTGAGCCATATGGCTAGAGAGGGTATATATCATTTGCTACGGCCAAAACGTGCCTCATCAAAATAACGGGTTTAGCCCCTAGGTCTCTTTGGACCAAATCTGTTTCAGGACATTTGTAGTCCGTTCCTCCGTCCGTCTGGCTGACTGCTGCGCACGATAACTCTCGAAGGGAGTACGAAACTTGGTTCAACGTAAAATTATTGGCAGGCTTCCATCGAGTTCGGAGATGAACAATATCGGTTCACTCCTTCTGGTACCTTCCCCCACAAAAGGCCAACATTTTCAAAGCAAATAATTTACTTTGGAGAAAGAGAAAGGAAAATCCAATTTGTCCCCAACCTTGCAAAACCACATATTTACACCAGCTAGGTCAGATGCGAAAATGGACAATATCGGTTCACTCCATCAAGTACCTCCCCCACAAAGGGTCAACATTTGGAATAATTATAACTCTTATAAAATGTGATGTACGAGTCCGACTGTCTTCAAATTACACACATCACAATATTTTAATTAACCCGAGGTCTGGTGTGAAGATGGAATATATCAATCCACTCCTTCTGGTAATTCCGCCACAAAGGGTCAAAATTTTGACTATCCATGAAGCTCATAAAACGCAACATTAGCATCCCATTCTTTTCAGATTTGGTACATCACAATATTTCCATGAACACAAGATCTGTTATAAAGGTGGTAGAAATCGGACCATTCCTTCTGGTACCTACCCCACAAAGGGTCAAAGTTTTGAATAACTGCCACGATTATAAAATCCGACTTGGCACATCACAATGTTTCTATCAACACAAGATCTTTTACAAAAATGGTAAAGATCGGACCCATTGTTCTGAGAGCTCCCCCACAAGGGTCAAAGTTCTGAATAACCAAAACGATTACAAAATCCGAAATAAGCATCGGGCTCTCTTCATATTTAGGGTATACGTCTTGCAACAGAGCCGACTGATACTTTTCAACTTGTTTTTGAAAATTTCGATCTTTTGTGGGGGAGGTACCAGAAGGAGTGGACCGATATTGTCCATCTCCCAACCCGATCTAAGTTTGACAAAAATATTACGATGTACCAAGTTTGGACCAAATCGGGAGTTATCGTGCGCACAAGCCAGCCAGCCAGACAAACAGACGGACGGATGGACATCGCTAGATCGACTTCAAATGATTTGGTTCAAAGAGGCCTAGGGTCTAAAGCCGTAATTTCGACGTTTTGATACATATCAAATGAGCCATGTGACTGAGGGTATAATGATGTTCTGAAACATTCAATTAAGTCAAAATTAAATATTTGGAAATGTTGAGTACTGCAAACACCCCCCCCCCCCCCTCCGCTCCTTCCCTCTCCCTGCTTGCTCTGGTAATTTATGACATTTCCGCACAATTTTCATTTGTTTTATCTAAAGCCAATAAAATAGGCAAACTAACCAAATTCTAAACCACGAGGCATGATAGCAGCCTAACATAAAACACATTTAAAAAAATATTGGCTTAAAGTCCTTACAATGTCCTTTTATGTAAATTTTTGTGTGGTTGTAAAAAAATAGGGTCGGAATGGCAGTAACAAAAGGAAAATATGACAAACTTTGCGGATACACAAATGGGTGGTGGGTGTGTCTGTACGTGTGTTTCTGTGTGTGTGTGTAGCATCATTAAGGTGTGATTTATAACACAATTCAAGGACATTTTAAATGACAAACAATTGTCACAGTGTCATTGTTTGGGTTGTAAAACGTTTCTGTTTGTCTCTCTCTCTGCTCTACGACCGACAAACGACCGGTAACGGCAGCAGCAGCAACAACAACAAGAGCGTTGATGACGTCGAGGACATGTCTACAACACTAGGAGGGGGAGAGAGAGAGAGAGGGAGAGAAAAAAGGAAATCTGGTACTTGAGTAGTACTTAATCGCATGTACTTGAAATATACAACGCTACAAATAGCCATGGACCCATGTGGCTATGTGGGTACGTATGTGTGTGTATGTGGCTAAGCATGGCCAGTGGTTTAGTTATTAATATAAAAATACACACACACACACACCAATTGACAAACAATGACATTTCCCTTGCCTGTTTGTAAGTCAAACTAGTAGTCGTAGTAGTGATAGCAGCTGTAAAATGTCAGGAAACTAGAGGCATTAAAACAACAACAACAACCATAACCTAAAGAAGAGGAAGAAGACGACGGCGAAGAATAAGAAAGACAAAGATGTTCAACATTCCGTCATTAAAGCATGGCATGCAATGAAGGAAAAGTGTCTTCCTCGTGACGTAGTACAAAGAAAAAGAAAAAACAACAACAATTTTCCAAAAAGAAAAGAAAACTCATGAACCCAGCAGGTATTATGACATTTATGGTGGAGGGACGCGATGAGGATGGTGTCGGTGGTGGTGGTGGAAAGATAAGAAAATCAACCAAATGCCGAACTAAACCTAAGCCCTCATTGTCGCCTATGTAAACACTTACGACGAGCAGTGTGTAGTGTGAAAGAATGCATTATTAATAAATAAATATGCCAACACACACACACATACGTACATAAACACACACACACACACACATCTTCTTTATAGACACATTGTAAAGTACACAAATCTTTGACGAAGACATGTTGGGAAATTCAAGGCTAAATTACCACTTGGGGAGTTTATGGGGGTATTTATTTTTGTCATGTAAATGTGGCTTTGTGGATGGGGGTTGCCAAAGGTTTCGTGGAAAAAATCCAAAATACTAAAATTTAAAATAAAAATTCATAAATTTATATTCAAATCTGAAATTTTTTACCAAAATGGCCACCCTCTTTGACAATCTTATTTCCATTTTTGGTCGGAAAATTGACCAAAAAATATCCACCCCACTTTATAATCCTCCAGCAGGTGAGTAAGTGCATGACGCATGCAGGTTATTCGACAGAGGGTTACTTCTCCCCCCTTTCCCTTTCTCTCTCTCTCCTTCCCTCTCTCTTTCTCTCCTTTCCCTCTCTATGCCTCTTGTTTCTTGCTACCTACCTGTTTTGCCAAGATAATCTTATGTCCTCTTCAAGTGAAGGGTCTTCTATTGAGGTTTTGGTTGTCATAAAACCTTTTTTTCAAAAAAAAAATTTAATTTATGACTTAATATTAGCTGCGATAACGGAAAATACAAAGCTAATAAACAATAGAGATTAACGCTGTTCGGAATCCTTGTTTAACTACTTTATCTGATCATTGGGTAACTAAATAATCCCATTTGCGGGGTATTCGGAATGTGAAAATTTTTGAGAGCGATATTTTTATAAGACTAATATCC